CACAAACCAAAGGACTGAAAGTGCCATAAAGAAATATATTCCTACCCTTGGAAGAAGATATCACATGAAAGGCAATGCCTTTATTGCATAAGGTTAACACAGTGGCATTGAGCTGTCTTTTCCATTCCTTTTCTCATTTAAAATACAGTGTCCAAAACAAGTAAAGGCTTGATCATAGTTCACACATGACAACCAACCTGTGGCTACCCTGCCTTGCACTGAGGCTAGAGGGGAGGGAACGCGACTACTGGCCTCAGTGTGTATAGGATGACACTCACTATAGGACATAGAATCATAGAATAGAATCATAGAATCGTTTAGGTTGGAAAAGAGCTTTAAGATCATCCAGTCCAACCATTAACCTACACTACCAAGTCTACTCTAAGCCAATCAAAGGTAGACTAGACTAAACCATGTCCCGAAGTGCCACATCTACCCGTTTTTTGAACACTTCCAGGGATGGGGACTCCACCACCTCTCTGGGCAGCCTGTTCCAATGCTTGACCACCCTTTCCGTAAAGAAATTTTTCCTAATTTCCAACCTAAACCTCCCCTGGCGCAGCTTGAGCCCATTTCCTCTCGTCCTATCGCTAACTACTTGGGAGAAGAGACCAACATCCACCTCCCTACAACCTCCTTTCAGGTAGTTGCAGAGAGCGATAAGGTCACCCCTCAGCCTCCTCTTCTCCAGGCTAAACAACCCCAGTTTCCTCAGCCGCTCCTCATAAGGCCTGTGCTCCAAACCCTTCACCAGCTTTGTTGCCCTTCTCCGGACACGCTCCAGCAGCTCAGTGTCTTTCTTGTAGTGAGGGGCCCAAAACTGGACACAGTATTCCAGGTGCGGCCTCACCAGCGCCGAGTACAGGGGGACAATCACCTCCCTGCTCCTGCTGGCCACACTATTCCTGATACAAGCCAGGATGCTGTTGGCCTTAACATGCTATGCTATGACAAATAAGTCATCTTCCTGGATGGATGCTTGCTGCCAAATGACCTCTGCCCAGTGTTTTGGAGGAAGGAAAAGCATTATTCAGTCATGGTGAACTTTGACGGGTGGTCAGAGCTGTATTATCACAGATGCAGCTTTCAGCCTGAGCTGTGGCTATTGCCAGTCTTTGTCAATGATTACTCTCTAGTAGTAAGGTGATACAGTTGATTCTGTTTAGGCACTTCTTCAGTGTGTGTTCGCATGTGCACACATAATAATAATAATAATGATGATGATGATGTCTTTCTGTGCCCTTCACATCTGGTTCTCACAAGTATTAAAGAGGAAGGGGTTTTTTTATACCTCCTGCTGGCTTGACACTGATGAGACACCATTGATTTTAATGGAAGAGACCACCAGTGGGAATTTTTGCCTCAAAATAATTTTCTTCTCCATCTGATAATGGAAGGAATGATCTGTTCTTTGATCTTTGGTTGGCAAACTTGGAAATCGGAAAGGAAAGGATGATGGTTGTACTGTAATAGAGCTTTACTCTAATGATGCGTGTAGTCAGTGGTTTCTGGGCATTTAAATAAAGGTGGGTGTGCTGTGAGACGTGATGAGGTAGGAGCCGAAATGCAGGGAGCATTGCTTGTGGAATAATCTCGTAACTGAGAGCTCCGGGAGAAGTGCCCTATAAATCCATCTTTTGCCAGTTTCAGTTCATACCGCTACCGTCCCTGCAATTATGCAAATGTTAATGTCTAAGTTACTAAACTGGCCAGCTCCAGATGGATTAATATGTAATGGATAACATGTAGATGATACTTAATCATGAAGAAAACTTTGTTCTGAACAGGATGCTGCCTTTTTTGTTTCAAATATTTGAGGTATCTTGCCAGCCCCTGTATCCCTGTTCTGTATTTAGCAGGGGAACATGAAGTGATGAAATGTTAGACGTCTGTCTTCACTAAAAGCTTCGGTAATGCTACTCTTGTGAAATGCTTGTATCTCCACTAGGAAAAAAATGATCATTTGTTTAAAAAGAAACAAAAAATAACAACATTAGTAGGTGTTGATGTTTCTATGTAAAACACAGTACAGGAGAGGCTCTAACCAGAGGTTTTGTTTATTCTCTCTCCTGTGAACTCCTTGTTGTAATGTCTAAGCACCTTATAAATATTTATGAATGTGTCCTCAAAGGAAAATGAAATTTATATAATGGAGATGCAAAGTGGTGTTAAAGGAAGCAACTTTCCAAAGGTTTGCTACACAGTTGTACTGTGACAGAACTGGGACAGTAAATCAGACCATTACATCCCATTTTGGTAAAGCCATCATCCCATCCTTCTTATTAGTTACTTTTGCCTTGGCTGCTTTCAGAGTAATTCACTGCTTTTCTTCATAAAATACAAATACTTTGTTTGTAAGGAAATACATTATTTTTTTGTAACTTCACGCTTAGGCAGGCCACACAGGGATTGATGGCCAACAGGCGGTTGCAGTTAGCAGCAGGGAAGGAACAGAGAGAACATTAAATGCAATTTACACTCCCGTGTGACAGCCCGCTCCGGTCTTGCTCCTCAGCTGCTGGAGGTGTCCCGAGCATCACTTGGGAGTTGATTGTCTGTGCTGAGAAGCTGATGCTCTGTGTGCTGGGGGCGAATTTACAGCACCGAGCTCAGCAGCGCTAACTGCCTGGGAAGACCCGTAATAATACTTCTGAAGAGGGATGTAGCTGCCTTTGCTTTCCTCACTTCTCCCATTCCTCATGCTGTTGCAGCAGGGCAGCTCACGTGCTGTCAACAGCTTCCTCTTGCAGACAAGCCCATGATGAAACAATTCCCTGCATTTACTGTTGTGCGCCGAGGCGCTTATTTCTGCGTGCTCCAAGTGATACGGGTCTCCTCCAAACAGCAACTGGGGGGACAAAATGTTGCAGTGGTTGCAGCATCTCTCCTGCGGCCAGGGATTCAAAACTGTATTTGGGCAGTGACAAAGTGCATGAGTAAGAGGCTAATTCTCTGTTCCTCAGGGTTTAAAGGCTTTGTGCGAATCGCTTTGAGGTTGGTGAAGGACTTCTGTTACTGCAGTGGGCTTTGAATCTAACCTCAAATGCTCAGTTAATTTACGGTGTGTGTTAGTCTTTTGTTAGCTGGCTTGTGAATATGAAATGGTGCTGAGCGAACCTTTGGAGAATATATTGCATGTGCAAATTTGCACGCTGATCTTGGTCTTTTCAAAGCAATATGACTGCGGGTATATGTTGAAATACCCCCCAGTATGTTGCAGACACATTCCTCTTTGGTCTTGTATATGCTGTTTGTATGTGTTTAGTTGGCACTATGAGCTCTGAGGTTTTCTTTTAAGTTATTCCACAGTGCTTTAGGGAAGTCAACTCTCATCACTAATAAAATAAAATAAAGCAAAACACTGGTAGGTCTTGCCTTGTTAACTGTTCTAGCTGTTGTGTTTCCCACTGTTCCAAAAAATATAAAGCTTTATAAGATTTAACATATTCCCAGTGCAAAGCATGAATATTTATAGGCAAAGAATAAGACTTCCCATTTTGAAATGGCAATGCTATGAAATTGCTTTTTTGGCAGGCATGATTAAGTCACACAGACTTCCAATAATGTTTTGCAAGCTTTTTTCCTTAATTATGGCTTAATTTAGGTCTGTGAGTTTAACAAAACCTATGAAGCTTGCAGCACAATATTTTTCTTGTGGAAGATTTTGTTTGCATGGAATACAAATCCTGTACTCCTTGTGGGTATGATTTTTTTTTAATGTGTTTAAATGTGGAAATCCCATATTTTTTCTTTGCATTTCTTAAAGCATATACAAAATAAAAATAGCTGATACTATGTGTTTAATATAGAATTTTGAAGAAATTAGTTTGGAAAGTACATGTGATTTACTTTTTTTCCTCCAAACGCCTTGAGTAAAATGCACATAAGGTTATAAGACATCAAGCAAGAGGCACAAGATTCTGTCTCAAGCAGTTACTGCTGCAAGAGACGAATTAGAAGCAATTTTGCTTTCATGTAGTTATTCTTAAATGCACCGTTCTGACCACAGCAATAAATAGAATAATCTGCATAATTGTACTTGTGTGGCGTTGATCTGTCTTTTCTAGAGAAAATCCCTTTTCCCAGATAAAATAATCTTCCATTCAGCTGTAAGTGGAAGAAAGCATCTTTAGGGGCTGCACAGATTTAGGGGAATGTTTCTGCACAGGCTGACTACAGAATTTTGATAGGGACCTCTCAGTGAATTTGAGCACTAAAACCACCTTGGCTTTCCTGTGCAGATTGGATAGCATGGTATTTATGCAAAAGAGCTAGACAGAAAAGCACAGAGGTGATGTGAGATTAAACTAAGGTAGATTTATTCCTAGATTCTTTTAACAGCATAGTTTCTTAAATTGATGTAATAAATGTCTCAGCCCTGCTCAAAGATAGAGTTTTGAACGGCTTTGAGCTATTCTTGGGCTTAATACCTGAGTAGAAACAGCAGAAGTGATAGAAAACCAGGATCATTTTGGAAAAAAACATTCAGACAGTTTAATGTCCTCTGCCATGATCATGCTTTTCTGACCCCCTGCAGCCTTTCATTATCAAACTGAGAATGTCTCAGTCTCCCTAATATTAATGTTTGAAATATGATACAAATAAATAATCTGAAAAAAGTAGAGAAAAAAAAAGTGGTTAGCATCAAAGCTACCTGGGGCCTGCTCCACTGGCACTTAGACTTGCTAACATGAGCTTAGAGGTACAGTCATGGGCTCTAAAGCTGGACTTTCCAGGGGACCTGAAGAGAGTGAAATCCCTTGGAACTCAGAGACTGAACATTTTTAACATCTGGGTTTGAATGGTGAAGTCAGCACCTGAAAAAGCAAATATCTGGAAAGCAGTCTGAAAACTGTTTTACTGAAGATGATGGGAAATTGGGGAGTTTCTGGGGGGCGAAGGGCTTTTATTTTCCAGATAAAGAAAAGTTCCCTGGGATGGCAGAAAGCAATGCCAGAGTCTGCTGTCTGTATTTCACCTATCTTTGCTCTTCTTTGCAGGTTACATATTTGGGTAAGGTTTCCACAACAGGGATGCAGTTTTTGTCAGGCTGCACAGAGAAACCAGTCATTGAATTATGGAAGAAGCACACGCTTGCCAGGGAGGATATTTACCCAGCTAACGCCCTTCTGGAAATTCGCCCTTTCCAAGTCTGGCTGCATCATCTGGACCTCAAAGGTGAGGCGACAGTCCACATGGATACCTTTCAGGTAGCACGTATAGCCTACTGCACTGCTGACCACAACGTCAGCCCAAACATCTTTGCTTGGGTCTATCGGGAGATCAACGATGACTTGTCCTACCAGATGGACTGCCATGCTGTAGAGTGTGAGAGCAAGCTGGAGGCCAAGAAGCTGGCCCATGCCATGATGGAGGCCTTTAAGAAGACTTTTCACAGCATGAAAAGCGATGGCCGGATCCACAGGAACAGCTCGTCAGAGGAAGTCTCTCATGAATTTGAATCTGACGATGGCTGACTGAACTCATTCATGGTTCAACAAAGGCAGAAATGGCCTAGGGAATGAGAGCTGATAGATGAATAAGCAACAATTGAAATTGGGGAATGAAAGGACTGCCAAACACTTGTCTGACCAGCTTTTTAAATCAAAAGAGCAATTCAGTACCTACAGATATGCATCATTAAAGTAATTACATTACATTGAAATCTGCTGCTGTTGTAAAAGTGAGAAAAAAAAGCTCCCTCCCTCATCTCTGTCACACACCCATCACTGTCCCTTTCTTGTCTCTCTAGTTCAGGTGCATACCTTATAAGACTGGTCAGGCAATTTTATTAGTTGCTCCTCTGGCATTCTAGCTGGGGGCTGATGCTGATGCACAAAAGCAAGTAGACTTGGAAAGCCCTAATGGTTCCTGAAGAATCTTTCGCCATGATGCATCACAAAATTCCTTTGACCATGTGTAGGCTGACAGCCATACATAGCCTTTTAGACTAATGGCCTGGCATTCTGCAGTTAATTCACATTTCACAGATAAAAAAATGAAAGAAGATGCTTGTATGTACACATTATATCATATGCTATCCTTTATTTTATTCATCGTACCTATTTTCTTAATATACCTGCTGCCATGTTTTTCATCCAACACCAGTAGTTGCAGTTTCAGACTATATACTGCAGGATACCAAAAAGGGGTGGGCAAAAATACTCCGCGATGGCTAGGGGTACGGCGAGCCAGCACCCCTATCTGTGCATTTTCCAACCCTGGTGTGCTCTGCAGGAGGGGGCCCCACTAGTAAGAGTTGAGGGACACTTGAGTCTGTCAGTGTTTGAACTGTGACTTCTCATCAACCTCAGGTCTGAAGTGAGATGAGCATGGTAGCCTCAACTCCGTGTTACCGGTCTCCACATTGCTGGTCGAGTGGCCCTGGTGGGATGGAGCTGGTAGTGCCTCGTCACACAGCCAGGGCTACATTACTGTAAAGATCAAAGGAAACGGTCCCTTAGGAGTCAGGTTTGAACATCTGTTCTGGTTGAGAAGCTCATGTTACGATTCCTGTATCTTTCCTTGTTCACAGATATACAGAGTCATGCCTTTCTTAAATGCAGATGTTTAATAAAACTCAAATAAAAGGAAAAACTTGTTTCACTTGATATTTTTTAAGGCTGAGAGCAGATCAATAGTTTGCAAGTAATGCTGCTCCTTTACACAATTTTGTTCGTAATTATGGTAATGTTAGGGGCACTAGGGCACCTTACAGAAGCCTTAAAAGAAAGCTAATTGAAATGGATAGCTCTATGTCTGTGTTTTGTGGGTCTATGTGTTTGTATGTGAGAGTGTATGTGTGAGTCCAGTGTTAAAGCATGTAAATTGAGCATGGAGACATATTGAAGAGGGCCCACACCTCTTGAAAATATGCTTGTTGCTTTACAATGTATGTAAACTATTCTCCAGCATAAATGCATTCATACTTTAATAAAAAAAAAAGTTTTGAGTTAAAGCTTGGGAGTTTTAAGCTGTCTTTCCAATGCAAACTCTGTGGTTTTGTTTTATGTGTGGGGGTTCTGTGTTCATTTTGTTTAGTGGAATGAAAATGTTAATTTATTCAATTTACTATTACATCAGCCTCCATGAGAATTACCTTTAATATTTTGAAATTATTTTCTTTTAAATATTTAGGTAAATTATTGCTGTGAGATATTTTTTTGTTTGTTTCTTTAACTTTGCTGTGTGATTTATAATTTCTGCTTTGCAGGAGGTGGCAGAGATACCCCACACACAGACACCTGGCCTGTTGAAATGAGCTCTGGTGAGTGGGGGCAGCATCTTGCCCTGCTTACAGAAATCACAGAGTGGCTCAGGTGCAGCATTAGATGGTGGGATGGTGAATAAAACACCAGGCTGCAGCTTCTAGAACTGTTTCTCTCTGAATCTTTGGATGATCCAGTGTTTCCAAATATGGGTTTGAAATTATTTCTTTTTTTTATTCCCACAAGGCTCATTTGGAAGTGGAGGGTCATGTATGGGCTATATGCTAGTCAAAAAAAAAAAAAAAAAAAAAATCTGAGTCCTGCCATGTATGTATCTGTCTTTTTGACCAAAGGCAAAATTAGGCAAAACTTCCCTCAGTTTTTGACCAATTATTTTCTTTTGCTTAGAGCTGTAAATCATGTGTTAGTTTCTTTACTTGTTTGGATGCTGTGCCACCAAAGCTGCTGTGAATCAGCATGTGAAATCCCCTGTTTCATCCTCTCAGACAGATGTCCCTGCTGATAACAGAGAAGCCTGGCTGAGTACCAGCTCTTAACCAAGGGCTGCTCGAGTGTGGGAGGGAGAGAAGGAAGATTCCAGCCCTCCTCACACCCAGGAGCTGAGGTGCCTCCTGCCTGCCCTACAGAGGACTACTGCGGATGATTTGGGTTTCGGATTTCCACTTCTGGAGCAAATCCTCAGAAGGGTGGGGTGTGTTTCTGCTGTGGGGGTGCGTGTGATCCTTCTGACTGACACAGCCTGCCCTTCTCACCAAGCAGTCCAGGCCAGAGCACAACTGGACAGAAATGTTGTTGTCATTTTATTTTTAACCATGGTCTTTCCTCTAGTGTGCTGGGATCTGCTGAAAAGATCCTATCTCCCTAAGTCACCTGCAGGTGTGGGTTATGCAAAGAATACCTTTGTTGGGGTTTTTGTTGTTGTCTTTTTATTTATTTATTTATTTATTTATCAGAACAGTCTAAATTTCTGCAAACAGTGCACCGTAGACAGAAATGCAAAGGGTTCCTCCAATGTGCTTTTACTCTACACCCTGAAGCGGTGTCTTGCTGCTCCCCTTGTCAAGTCTGTGACTGGGAGCATCTGTAGTAAGAGCCCTCGGCTATGGCATTACTTCCCGCCCCGCCCCGTAGCACACAGCCATGTGGTGCTACCCAGAACAGGAATAATCTGGAAGTGTAATTTTAAGCTGTTTTGTCTGCAGATCATTGTCTACGGTGATGCTTTGTGTCAGGGCATGGTGTCGTGCATTGACATTAGCAGCACTGTGGTGCACTCGCTCAGTGGTGGGGATGCAGGTTACTCAGTTGTGGTTTTGGACTGTCATATTTCATGGCTTGGTGTCAGAGAAATGGATGCTTTGGGGAACACAGGGCTTGCCTGTTTGCTAGTTGCCTATGTGCATTTGGAAATCTCTTCCTAGGTGCTGATTAGGACCCTGAAGGGACCGTTACATGAGGTGGCTGCCATGTGTGCTGACCTTGCACTGATTTACAGTGGGTTGGGGAGATCTCGCAAAGGTATTTGATATTGTGGCATCTGCAATAATTCCTCAGCATTTGGAGGCTGTGGATTACATGAGAATTTTGAATGATAAAAATAAAATACAAAGGAGAAAATTCTAGTCCTTGCGATTAGAAAATCAGACCCTTTGAAAGATGAACCAGCTATTTTCCAAGGGTTCAAATATGCAAGGGAATATGAGGGAATGTGAACTCTAGTTTGTCTTAGAAAACATGAGATTTGAAAAATCATCCGTATCATGAGTTTGGATCCTTAGATAATTTGGAATTCAGGCCAAATCCCTCTGCATTATCAATACCAAATGTGTGATGCCATTTGCATGAAGGAGAAAAGCTTTTACTCCGAAATTGCAAGCATATCAGTTATCACTGAATATCAGTTGCCAATAGATACCAGAATGAAACATCAAGTTAAACTTTTCCTTCAATTAATCTGTTGGAAAAGAAAAAACATAAAGTTTCCATCAGAAGTCACTTCCAGTTGGCTAAAGATTTTCATTTTCAACTACAAAGAGCCCAGTTTTGGATCTCACTGCATCCCGCTGTGGGTTGATGAGTTCCTTCGGCATCAGCCAGGAAAACACACAAGGGATTTCTTTCCCTCTTCTGTTTGTAGGGGAGAGTAGAGAAGGGTCGAATATGTAAGTGTGTTATTAGAACTGCAGAAAAAGAGGCCATCTAGATCATTACACCTCAACATCAATACGCACCATCACCAGTGTTTTGTCAAGGTGATTTTCATAATTTTTCGAACTACCTTAAGAAAAAAGTAAGTGTTATTCTATACAAAGTAAGTTTGTTCAGTTTTCAAGCTCTGAATTCTAAATGTCTTATATTCATACCAGGTCTTCTGTGGAGCTGTGAGTGAGTGATTGTAGCTCAGGAGCAGTGGTGCTATGGGGAGAGCAACACACCGCACTAGGAAGCACAGGTTGCTCGAGAATTGCTTAGATGCGTATGGGGTGTTTTGCCTGTGGGAAAGGAGAAAAGCAGAAAGTAATTTCTTTCAAGTTTTAAACTCAAAGGCCTCTAAGAATAGCTGAATGTTTTGTTTTGTTTAAAAAAAAATACCGAAAACACAGCCAAACAAAAAAGCCCTCTGCAGCTGGTTCCACTCCCTAACTTGCCAGTAGTGAGTGGCTTCAATTTTACACGAAAAAGCAGCTGGACGATGCCAATGAATTGCATTTAATTTTCCTAAAACCTGCAAATAAATGGCATGTGATTGAGAAGCCTTTGATACAGAGGCAACCCCATATCAGTCTCTTTGAAAACTTTACATGTATATGTTATTCTTGGAAGCTTTGACACTTGAATATCTGTGTATTCACAGTGAATTTTATTTGAACTGTAAGGTTCTCTGTGTGTCTGTATACACATATGTATGCATATATATATGCACTCATATGCACTCATCTTGAAAAGTGATGCTTGTTCATAAATATTTTCTGTATGATGGAACGTATGTAATGGTAGGTATATGTGTGAAAGCAATCTCAGATGTTAGTGTTGAGATAAGTTATTTACTACTTAAAAAGTCCTTTTCCTTTAGTGGGAAGCAAATTAACTTGTCTATCTACATGCAAAATTTGATATACTATGTGCATTATTTACCATTTACCACCAGAGCTGGCCTGTTCCATGCCCAATTAGCTGCTGTAAGAATGATGTATGATGGGACTCGTTTTTCCCCTGTGGCAGTGAATTATTAATTTGTGTATAATTGGGAAGTGATAGCTTAAATGTATGATTGTTTTCCTGTAGACTAGTGTTCAGTCTGCTAAGAGTTTACAGTAAGGGAATATATTCTTTTGTGAAAATAGGGACATTAATTGTACCTTTTTTCTAATGTAACTTTATAACAGATACAGGGTGTTTTTTAAAAATTCCTTTTTTGTTAAAGTCCATTAAAATGCTTCCTTCCTTTCATTATACAGTTGATCATCACTGGCTGCTTTTACCCATTGCCCCAAGGCTCTTTTATCTCCACAACATGACTTCTACACTGCCCGGGG